TATTACTGAAATAATCTTCCGAGGAAGGTAGAAATCTCACGAACGCGTGGCTTCAGCACCGCGGATGATTGAAAGGATGAAGGGGCTCGAACCCATAAAGCACAATGAGGTCCCCGAAGACCCGTCCAGACCTGGTATCTCTGAACATATGCTTTTCCTCTTTCCTTGAAGCACGAAATAAAATAAAAACCGCTCCAGAAAGGTCGAATCAAACTTTTCATGCGTTACGAAGTGCTTTTGATTTTCGCTTTCTCGTTAAACATTTTTCTTCATATTTGAAGAATTCAACTTTCTAGGAATTGGATGAAATTAATCAAATGGAATTTGAACGGGACCATTCATACCGTTTCGATAATTACAAGTCTGAGTTATGATCCGTATTTCATATCTGGATTCCAATTCGTTGCCTCAGCATAAAATTGACCATAATAAATAATAACGTCTGAATTGTCATGAAGTTCTTGAAGTTTCTGAATTAGCTTTAGGATATACAGTCACATAAGTTCAAACATAATCTAGAATAGGATATCTGCCATTGAAATTACAAGATTTTGCATTATTTTCCGAATCACTAACGGTTATTTCGTCAAAACTTCTCCGCTATGACCAACACTAAAGATAAACTTGCTGTACAATCAACAACAGAAAGTACGTAAAATTTCAACGGAGATTGCATGAAAAAATCAAAATTTATTCCAACACATATTAGATAAATATTAAAATTCAGACAGGCACTGGATGCTTTGCACTACCTTAAACTTTTACAGCATTATTGATCCCAAGTTTGAATTAAAGTAAATTACAGTGCCTAAATATAGCTCTGTGGTCGAAAATGTGACTAAAGCAAAGTACTGTATTTTAATCAATTTCTTCAAAAATGTGTTCAATGAAGAAAATCGATGGTGATTTATTCACTATGAAAAATAATTCATGATTCAACCTCGCTTCAATGCGGAGAGGTTCGATTATCGCTTCGGAGGGTCATAAACCCTGAGGTTTTCTGATTCCCCCCGCAATTCGCGACTTTTTTGAATGGAAGATTCCAGTGATCTTTTTTAAATCAAGATCTCACGGAGTTTTTCTAACGAAATATCCCGTATGGTCATCCCACGACTTTTTACGGAAGTCTTGGCATATTTCCAAGCGCCTGAATGCAAGTCAGTATCTGCGCACAGACGACACGAATTTCAATCAATTAGATTATTGATCTTTTAGGCAAGCTTTCCCACGCTCTTCGAGCGAACCTGGGTGTCCCGGCTAGGTTTAAAAAATGTAAACGTTCCTCAGTGACATGAAAGCATTGCGCACGAAATTCCACCGAAAGTACTGTACCTCGCAGCTCGATAATAAATTGTTTCGCGGATTCGCATTGAATTCTCCATCATTACATCCATTAGTTAATGAATATGAAATTAGACTCACGGGACGATGTTCACGAAATGTTTCTCATTCGAGGGTAATACCTACTAATTATATGCATTTCCATTACTGACGCTCAATCAGCTGGGGGCATTGGTTTTCCTTTTGACAGGCATGAATGATGAGGGTTTCGAAAGATCAGCGAACTTTGTTCATCGCTCGATAATTGAAGCAGAACTCACGTATTCATGAACTTGGGGCATATAGAGCATGCGCATTCAGATCAATGGAAAATCGCATGGGAATATTTTCTTTTCNTTTTACGGAAGTCTTGGCATATTTCCAAGCGCCAGAATGCAAGTCAGTATCTGCGCACAGACGACACGAACTTCAATCAATTAGATTATTGATCTTTTAGGCAAGCTTTCCCACGCTCTTCGAGCGAACCTGGGTGTCCCGGCTAGGTTTTAAAAATGTAAACGTTCCTCAGTGACATGAAAGCATTGCGCACGAAATTCCACCGAAAGTACTGTACCTCGCAGCTCGATAATAAATTGTTTCGCGGATTCGCATTGAATTCTCCATCATTACATCCATTAGTTAATGAATATGAAATTAGACTCACGGGACGATGTTCACGAAATGTTTCTCATTCGAGGGTAATACCTACTAATTATATGCATTTCCATTACTGACGCTCAATCAGCTGGGGGCATTGGTTTTCCTTTTGACAGGCATGAATGATGAGGGTTTCGAAAGATCAGCGAACTTTGTTCATCGCTCGATAATTGAAGCAGAACTCACGTATTCATGAACTTGGGGCATATAGAGCATGCGCATTCAGATCAATGGAAAATCGCATGGGAATATTTTCTTTTCGATGCCATAAGAGGAAATGAGGCGATAGAAGGCGTTGAAATATATTCCTTGCAGGGTCCCGAGAATCTCAAATCCGGATGAAGTACTTGAAATCCAAGAAAAAGTGAACGATTGTTTGATAATGCTTGAATCACTAGGGATTTCCCAATGCACAGGAGACCCGGACACAAAACCGTTTCCATTCTCCTCGCATTATAATCGAACTTAGGACAAAAAGGTTTAAAAACGGGGCTTTTCACAGCGCCACAATATACTGAAGAGTAATTTTTGTATCAGTAAGAAAAAATACTTTGGAAAAACTCACATTTTTGTGATTTACAAGCTTCATGAGCTTAAATTCCCGATATGCTCGTTTGGCGTGAGTTACATTCTGAAACGGTCGACTCAGCTTCTTTATAGCAACCATGGGACCATCTGCACCGTCACTCGCAGCACTGAAAATGAAAAAAGAAAAATTCGTCATGCAATGGTAATCGAATACTGTAAAGGTGAAATTTGTTTGAATCTCTTTGAACGTTGATCATTAAATGAATGCATCTTCATATTCTATATCACTATAAATCCTTGAACTGAAGCCACTGTATACTCAGTAGATTCATTCGCGGTTTAAAAAAAAGTGAGGCAAATGTAGACACCCATCGGAAGGTGAGATGAAACAAATGTACTGTACCTCTTTGACTTGTTGTATTGGTTGGAAGAAAAAAGCCAGAAAAATTATTTCAGTTAATTTTCGTTAGAGGTGATGACGTATTCGAAGGATAAAAATCCCAACAGTTTGAATCCTGCGCATCTCACCCAGATTCTATCGTGAAAAAACTTTAACACACAAATTTCGGGAGGGAGGTTGTTCAAGTTCAGTGAAATTGAGTTTGAAGATTCTGACTATTATAATCAAATCAAGAATTGAATCCATTGCTGCATATGATAATGGAGGCAGAGTACAGGCTCGAGAGCAGCCTCATAAGTTACGTCTGTCTTGTGCTCACCGTCCTGGAGTGTTTTAGGATAGGCAGAGATGAACTTAATTATCTTGAAGCAGGATACTTTCTTGATCCATTTTACAATTTTTGGACCACCGAAGTGGAAACGGAGATAATAAGGCATAGAATTAAAATTGCACTCCATCATCGTGAGAAATCAGTGAGAGTCATCAACCACAAGTAGCTTGCTTCACAAACTGTAGACAGACCCAGACGCATCAAATACAGCATTTTAAATAATTAGGACATCCTCTCATTGATCATGTCACAGATCCAATAACCCTGCTCATATTGGAATTAAATTTTCCTTCGTTTCAAATGTTGGTTTATTCGTGATGCTGTATGCGAAAGTTCCCGAAAAGTTCCAATCGAATGAGATTTTAAAAAGTTCTAAACGTCAGAAATTTAATTTTTTTAAAAGACTCACCGAATAAACATCGGCTTATTTGATTGGGATTCAAATATTGCAAATTGATCCCACACATGTTTGCATGTATGATTCTCAATCCTTTCTGTTTGAAAAATAACTTAATTTCAAGCAAAACTTTCGAATATCTTAGTGAATCAACAATTATCGAGGCAGCATGCAGCTAAGCGTCAGGTTCTACGACGATTCGATTAATGATTAAGGGGATTAATGATTAAGCTACTGTATATACGAGTACTGTATACAGACTAGAATTTATAAAATGGCACCAACCAAACGATCCCCTGAGCACCAGACCCGATTGGCTTCAGGTTCTGGTACCGCTTCAGGATGGTGAACTTGGTGTCCCCGACTTCGACGGTGTAGAAGTGCGCCGGGGACTTGGTGGCATTGGCGGCCATGGGTGACGGGGAATAGGACGGGGCCCGGGCACCGGATGCCTTGCGAGCAATGCCTGCACTCCCAGGTTTAGCCTTGCTGGGACTCGGCGTGGCGCGGGACTTCTGCTCCTGCGCGGAGACGGAAGAATTGCGCCGGGATGTGGCCGGGGAGGAATTGTGAGGGTTCTGGATGTGTCTGCGCGGTGTTGGGTGGCCACCCACCGACCCGCTTGCAGACGTCTTTGAAGGCTTCGAGCCCGTTAGGGATGTATTCGAAGACAACCGGGAACAGGAGGTTGCGGGCGGTTGTTTCTGCAACTCCGCGCACGTTGCAACGACCGCCTTCGGTTGCACCAACGGCATTAGGCGCGACTCCAAGTGGTCCACATGCTTCCTCGGAACCTGTTGAACGGCAATCAGTGGTTCAGCTAAGCTAGAGCTTCTCAAACAGCAGTGCCAATACAATAGGATATACAATAGGATACACCGTATTTACTCGAGTACCACGCGCTGTTGAGCAAGAGGCGCACCAGGGTTTTTCAGTCTAATATGTTTTTTTTTCATTCATAAAAATGTATCTCTGAGTAATATGTCCGCCCCATTTTTAGTGGCTAAAATTTCAATATAATATTTCAAAACTCAAGCACCTAAATTTAATTTACACATGAATTTAACCTGAATTCAACTTATTTGCAATTATTTCTACTGTATTACATATTTGATCCGTTAAAATTGGTCCAAATTTTCCCCATTAAAATTAAGTATAGCCCACCTAAACTTCTAAAACTTGGAAAAAATGTATACCTGCCCAGAATGCACGCCTCCCTTTTTCTTTTAGTTTTGAGATGCGTGTGGTACTTGAGTAAATATGGTATACAGAGGTACTTGATGAACATGCAGGTATGAAAATTCCTCAGGCATCGAGGACAACTCAAGGCAGTCCATTTGGAGCTGATTAACCATTCAGCAGTGGAAGGTTCTGTTCCATTGCATGGTATTTTTATTTTTATTTTTTGCAGGCAAGTGTATTTCAGTTTGACCAAAGGTCACCAAAATGGCACCAGGGCAGAGTGGCCTAAGCCTAGAAGTACTGTATTTGGATAAGCTAGGAGAGAAAAATTTTCTCTCCTAAAACAAGGTGTCTCCTAAAAGTCCAGGAGACACCCCAAAACTTGTTTTCAAAGATTGAAAGAAATTACAGACATTTCCCAACTCAGGCTATATTTGCCAGCGCGATATTTTTTACATTTAAAAATGTTGAGCGAGGAATTCCTGCAAAAATATCCCAGCAACACCGCCGAAGGGTTAAAGAGGCTGGACACAATTTGCCACAAATCTTCCAGAAATTCTGGTGAATCTAGGACTTAAAATTAATCTACAGCTGCCGATTTCCACTCAGGCCGCAGGTGGATGCAAAAATCTCCAAAAATTCCAATCCGATGAGAGTTTTAGAATCTGTTCTTCTCGGAATAAAATTTTGAAGGAAAAAGCTCAGGGAATGACCAGAGACTTGAATTGAGATTGTATCACTTCGTCATCCAGGTGTGGTATGAGAAC